ATCAAGAGGAGGACGATGAAGATGATGAGGGTCCAACAACACGGAGGAGGAGGGGCAGGTCCAGTCGAAGTCAGCCCACTGAAGAGGCGCAGCCGGACGAAGAGGAGGAACCACTCCCACGTCGTTCCGGCCGTAAGAAACCCAGAAGCTCTCAGCGAAAGCGACAAGACGACGAGAGCGACTTTGAGCCTGAGGAAGACGAGTCGAATGACGACGATGATGAAGAGCTCTCTCAGTCCGGAAAGTCACATGGATCACCACGCAAAGCCAGTCAAGCTCGAGATGACGAGGAACAGGACAGCACCGCCGGTCGGCGTCCTGGTCTGCGTAAGAGAGCTTCTCGCTCCCGTGGACAGTCCGAAGTACGAGGAGATATTGCCGAGGAGCTTGCTGAGGAGTTGGAAGATCTCAGAGGAGATCGACCCCGCCGGAGGCTTCAGACGGATATCGTTTACGAGAAACCAAGGCGCAGCCGGAAGGATGTCGACTACCGGATCATTCGGCCAGATCTCATCCTACCAATAGAGGAAGCCGAGAACGAGGTCAACGAATCTCCTTCACGGCGAGGTCGGGGAGGCGGAGGCGGCAGTTGGCAGCGCACACTTTTCCCGACATATGGACCTTTTGGAGGCGGCGGGCCACCAGCGATTCTAGCTCCTCCTGGCGCACCTGCTGCGACAGGGGGTGTTGACAGCGATAGTAGCGACGATGAAGTAATGCAACATCCCAAGGGCGCTGGCGGCTCCGTGTCCGGACCTCCAGGTGCAGGTCTTCTCGCTTCAGCACAAACCCATGGAGCCGATCCTCTACAAGGTCCATCCGGAACACCTGCCAATCTAGGAAAGATCAAGGATAAGCAGGCGCTTGCTGATGCCGATCCCTTGGGTGTTGACGTTAATGTCAATTTCGACAGTGTCGGCGGCCTACAGGGGCATATCGATCAGTTGAAAGAGATGGTTTCCCTTCCGCTCCTTTACCCCGAGATCTTCCAACGTTTTCATATCGTGCCGCCAAGAGGTGTCCTCTTCCACGGTCCCCCTGGGACAGGTAAGACGCTGTTGGCAAGGGCCTTGGCCAACAGCGTTAGCTCCGAGGGTCGCAAAGTTACATTCTATATGAGAAAGGGTGCGGATGCGCTGAGTAAATGGGTCGGTGAGGCTGAAAGGCAACTCCGGCTGCTCTTTGAAGAGGCTCGAAAGACTCAACCCAGCATCATCTTTTTTGATGAAATAGACGGTAAGTGCTCGCCGACTTCGACGCTTGTATGTTGCTAACGCTCATCTGCTCTGCAGGACTGGCCCCCGTAAGATCAAGCAAGCAGGAACAGATCCATGCCTCCATCGTGTCGACTCTGTTGGCTTTAATGGACGGTATGGATGGCCGTGGCCAAGTCATTGTCATTGGAGCTACAAATCGACCGGACTCTATTGACCCTGCTTTGCGTCGCCCTGGCCGCTTCGATCGCGAGTTTTACTTCCCGTTGCCCAATACTGAAGGTCGGCGTGCAATCTTGGATATCCATACCAAAGGTTGGGATCCGCCTCTCCCTGATCACATCAAGGACGAACTGGCCGAGATCACGAAGGGCTATGGCGGAGCCGATCTCCGTGCTCTTTGTACTGAGGCCGCTCTCAACGCAGTTCAGAGGAGATATCCTCAAATTTACAAGTCAGATCAGAAGCTTCTCATCGATCCCAAGAAGATCAATGTCACTCCGAAGGATTTCATGTTGGCTATTAAGAAGATGGTTCCCTCATCCGAGAGATCTGCCTCCTCCGGTGCTACTCCTCTACCCAAGCCAGTTGAGCCTCTGCTTCGTCGACCATTATCCGATATCAAAACCATTTTATCCGATATACTCCCACAAGGAAAGAGGCTCACGGCTCTTGAGGAAGCTCAATTTGAGGAACCCGAAGGGCCAAAAAGCTTTCGCCGTGAGCAGATGCAGCAAGAATTTGAAACCTCCAGAGTGTACCGTCCCAGGATGTTGGTGCGTGGGCCTTTTGGCATGGGCCAGCAACATCTTGCAGGCGCCATCCTCCATCATTTTGAGGGACTGCACGTTCAAGCTTTTGACCTCCCGACCCTGCTCAGTGACTCAACCAGGTCTCCCGAAGCAGCCGTCATACAGCTCTTCCAAGAGGTCAAGAGGCACAAGCCCAGCGTGATATACATCCCAAACCTTCAGTCTTGGCTTGATACCGTCGGACCGACGGTCATATCTACTTTCCTGGGCCTTTTACGATCTGTTCCCCCTTCAGACCCTGTTCTCCTGTTCGGTGTCTTGGAGTCGTCCGGTGAGGAGGTGGATAATGGACTACTGGGCAACATGTTCGGGTTCTCGAAGAGGAACTTCTACGACCTAAATGCCCCAGATTATGATGCTCGATATGAGTTCTTCGGTAGGGTAATCGACTACGTCAAGACCTCGCCGTCCGAGTTTCCTGATCCCGAAAATCGTAAACGAAGAGAACTCGAGACACTAGAGGTTGCACCTCCTCCTCCACCGAAGCCCGCACCGCCTCCGACCAAGGAGCAGCTTAAGGCCCAGAAGAAGAAAGATCACCAGACCCTGAATTTGTTAAAGATCAGGATCCAGCCCATAATGGACCAGATTAAGAAATACAAGAGGTTCAGGACAGGTGTAATTGACGAATCGCAGATCCGGTACCTGTGGGAAGAAGATGATCCGAACATTGTTACTAGCGACTTGCCCATCGAGCAACGAACAACGTTCAGGCCCTTTGAAAAAGCCTTCGATAAGCATGGGGTTCCGGGTCTCCGGGAAACTGTTTCGGGAAAGTTCTTCTACAACATGGAAATTGTGACTATCGAAAAGAGACTTTCCAATGGTTACTATAAGCGACCTGCGGATTTCCTGGCTGATATCAAGCGCTTGGCAAAGGACGCGCGGCAGCTAGGCGACCAAGAGAGGTTGTTGCGAGCCAACGAGCTTCTTTCTAACGTCGAGGTCGACATTGCCACCATCGAGCAGGCGGAGCCGGCCCTAGTCGCAGAATGTGAAAATGTTTACCTGCGGGAGCTGGAGAGGGAGAAGCTTGCAACAGAACAGGCCAAAAAAGCCGCGGGGGAGGAAGGCTATATCCGTCTCGCAGCGACCGGCAATGTTCCCCACGGCAATACAGACTCCGGCCCTTCAAGCGGACCTGTGGTGCTTGGCGAATCCTTCCCGGATGGGCAAGCTCGTCCGCAAACACCGACGCGACCCTCGGCCGTGAGCTTTCTCTCCAACGGTTATCATCAGGGTGGTGGCTCGGATCTGAATGATCTTAGTAACCATGCCACGATCAGTAATGGGTCCCATGAGTCTCGCGGCGATGGAGATGGAGATGTTTATATGACTAATTCTGAAGATCATTCTGGCGAGAGAGAGACGCAGGGCAGTTCTTTCGGACCCTCCGCCCAACCCAGGCCACCGTACTCCCACACGGCGCCTTCGCAGCAAGTGAGGCGTGAATCCGGATTCTCAAGTCTGTCTCAAAAAGGACCAATGACTCCAATGGCCCCGGGATCACAGCCGAATGACTATACGAACGAGGCGTCTACCACGCAGACTACCTCGGACAAGAAGTCCTCCGAGCAATCCTCAGTGCCGCAAAATCTCACCCAGAGTCCTATGGCGGCGCATGGGCTGCGGCACGACTTCCCCGACCTCACTCAATACCCCGACCGTGTGTCGCAGGAGGAGCATCTCCCGGATACGCAGCAGCCGGAAAGTAGCCAGCCCTCCCCGCATCCCCGTGAGTCCTTACCGGGACACGCAGACTTCGCTGCCGGGGAAAGCCAATCCCAGCCTAAGCATCAACCCCCTGTGCCCTTGTTCGAGGCGCCTGTCAAGCAATCCTCTCATGTCCCCACGGCTCTCCAATCATTGCTGAACAACGAAGACCTTTCTCCCAAAGTCTCGCTTGAACACGATTTTATCGTCAACCTACACAACCAACTGACGCAGCGAACCAGCGGGTGCTCGGTCGAGCAGCTAGAGCAGATCAATAGCAACTTGATGGACTATATCTGGCGGATGCGAGGGGAGTGGAACCGCAACAAGGTTGCGGCTGGTATCAGGGATACCTTCAATGACGTTCTGGAGGACATGCAGGCGATGCAGGAGATCGGCCCTATCAGTCAAAGAACAAAGGAGCAGCTGGGGGCTGATATCTTCCATGCTTAGACATGGTGGCCTGGACTTTGTTTTCTCTCTTCGCTTCCCGCGAGTCTCTAAAATTGTGTGCCTTGGTTCTTTGGGTAGGGACAACTAAGGTCGCTTATTTCCGATGACTCTCTCTCCTTTCACTCTTACCATTTCTTATACCTTTGCCTGTTTGTGAAGTCTCCAGCATCATCTGCGAGTACCCTTTTTACATGCATTCTACGAACATTCTCACTAACTGGATATTCTTCCGGTGTTTTCTGCGATTATTTAGAGCTAAGAGGGATTCTGCGTGGGAATGCATGTAGGTATTGTTTTTCGACATTTTCTCGAGCTATATTTTTAGATTCTCTGCCTGCAAAGACACTACATTGTAGATAAGACGATACAAAGAAGTCATCTTCCTTTTCAAAACCAACAGAATTTGGCTCATGGTTTGTCGTAGTATGTAGATCATTGATGCAGGTAACTAATCAATGGTGAAGAGTGGAGGCCATGTGATCTGCGCCTAAAACACCAGGCTGGCCTTATCCTTCCTCCGCAAGAATAACCATACTTAGATTCCAGTTACGCTACCTTTCATTCGTTATTCTTTTTCCCTTTCATGGACTCACAGCAGCTTGACCACTAAATATTCTATCATTAAGGGTCATCTAGCGCAACAACTTCAGTCTTCAGGCGCTGAAAACGTCGCGATCCCCTACACCATCGTTGTTGACGATACTATGACCCAAGCCTAAATTTGTACAACTCTCACCACACCACCCGATTCCACCTGACCCCTTACCTCTTCCTTTAAATCTTTGAACATATCTGAATCAGTCATAACATGGTGGATTGGCTCAGTCTCGCCGTGCCGCTCGCCTACCTAGGCGTTCTGCTCGGCTCCCTAGCAACTTTCTCGTCACTATACCGCAAGCGCAAGGCCAGTAAGTTGACTTTATCTCTCCCAAACGAGAATTTGATCGCTGATCCGATTATCGCGATCCGCAGGAAAGGCAACCTCATTAGAACCATGGTTTCCCCCGCACCTCCAACGAGACATCTACTTCTCCCTTCTCCATCTTGACCCGCCGGCCTCATCCTCTTCGAAAGAGAAAAAGGCCCCAGCGGTGCCGGAGACGGTACTAAAGGCCGCGCTTCTCCGGCGCGCAATCGAGGATATCAAACGCGTTATGGCGCTCCGAAACCAGAAGCAGGCACTAGCTATGCTTCTGCAGCGGGGTAGTGTCGGGGACGATCTGTGGCAGCGATTCCAGCGAGCGGAGAAGGAGATGGAAGACGAAGTGCGGGATGTTGTTGCTGAGGTTTGTTTTTCATCCTGTTTCATTCAGTCCCTGCATGTGTGGGGAGGAGTTTGGCTAATTCCGGTGCTTTCTCCAGGCCAACGCGTACGTGCCGAACTGGGGCCAAACGATCTTTCAGTCCGCGAACGAGATGCTCAACAATGTCCTGTTCCGTGAGCGGCTGCAGAGTTACCAGAATAAGTTGGCCGAGGAGCGGGAGTGGTGGGATAAGAAGAAGGCGAGCATTCAAGAGGGATTTATGAAGGAGCTGGATGCAGAGAGTTCCGTTTCCACAAAACCCGAGCAAGCTACATCTACCGCGACGACTACCAGCTCGACACCCGGAACCAAGACTCCTGAGTCATCTGCTGCGCCATCCACTGCAGCCGAAAGTGATGACGAGGCTGTATTGGTTGAGGCTGCCGACACTGCGGCGGGTGGATCGAGCAGTGCCAGTAAGAAGAAAAAGAAGGGCAAGAAATGAAGGTCGCCTTGTTAGATGGGATTTTGTTCATTTTGCATGAGACACTTCGATCTGTGAAACCACAATTACCACAGAACGCAGATTCGTACTCTGCACTGCCGCTCCTGACGTTTAATCAAGAAAGCGAAGTTTACGTGGGCTGGTCCAACTGCTCTCTCGCCATTCATGACTGTAATAGTAGTTACCTCTCTGTGCATGGGATCCCATGGAATTAGGACAATATGACAATCCTGGGTCCTTAAGCCATTCTGAAATACTATTCCAGAAATAAATTTGGTCAATGGAACCATAGGAGAGACGAATGAGTATATGTGGTCAAACTAATGTACAAACAGAGCTAAGTCAATTTTCGGATTGCACCAAAAACGCCAATCTATATGCCTATGATGATTGTCCGCCGCCATAATAGTACAAATCCAATGACACGATGGTGATGGCACCGGTGCTGGTAGCTCATAACCCTCACCAAGTCTAGAGAAGCAAATTATCGTCATCCAGTGAAGATCCCAGATCAACATTAGAGACACCCATCTCGACAGCAACCTTCGCTATCTGATCCTCAATCTGGCCAGGTGCGGCAGCCGTTCGCGCTATGACGACGCGTAGCAGATCACTCATGATCTCCAGTTGGTACTGTTGCTTCTCCTGAGGCTCGAGCTGATCGGGACTCAGGCCTCGCGCTTGCAGACCCGCCGCTTTGCGCTCGCTCAGGATTTCGACAAGTCGATTGACCTGCGCAATGTTCTCTTTGCTCCTCGGGGTGCTGGACAAACGCCGTAGACGACGCTTGGGCGTGTCCGCTGGAACACCGGCCATGCGCGACACCTGCAGGATAATCAGACGGGCAGTCACCTCGTCCGGGGAATAACCGAAGGCTGCCCTGAGCGAATACAACGCAACCAGAGTGCCGGGTAGATCCTTGGAGAGACAGAAACAGCGAATGATCTGGTCGTAGAGCTCTTTAGAGAATTCTTCCTGCGCAGTCGACTTGTCGCGGGGAGGGAGCTGAGAATACCACTTCATCATCTCTGCAAACAAACAGCGCGCGGATGGAAACTCTGCGTCGAAGGCTGTCCGGCCTCGGTCATATTGAAGCTTGCCACAGTCCCATAGGCAGGCGTATGTCTCCAGGTCTGGTTTGATCGACACAGACATGGCTTTGAACTTGTTCCAAACAGACCGAATATCTTGTTTTCTGAGCTCCGCATATAAAATATGGTTCATGAAATATGAATTCGGCCGGATTTGAGCGTCCCCAAGGCATTTGACTAGATACTTGACCATGTCATCATCGCCTCTTCGGGTATAATGGAGTAGGAGAATCGAAAAGGTCTCGATGTTTGCTGAGGGCACCTGTCTCTGCATGAACTTTGGGATGCGAGCGCCATCTATCTCCTGGCGTACATGGAGCTGAGGAGATTTCCCAGGTGATGCGGTTCGTGCCCATACCAAGTCAATCCGCTGCTGGACCATGGACCACCCCAGTTGCTCAGCCTTGGCTCGCGCAATGGCATTACCTTCGCGGAGCCATGCAGCAAGTATTCCATTCAAATGCTTAGAGTCTGGTCTAACACCCCGTTCGTACATCAGCTCAATTACCTTCGCAGCGGAGTCAACCTCGCCCATTCCGATAAGCTTCTTCATCCAACTTGCATAGAAAAATCGGTTCTGGAACCGCCGAGGTAAAACGGTCAGAGTCGAAAGCGATATCTTATTGACGTCCTGTTCACGAATGCTGGACATCTGTAAATTGCCTACTAGACCCAAAGCGGCCTTATAAATGGCAGTAGAGTCGTTTGCTGGATCTTGAGCGGTCACCATCATGTCCTTGAATACGGCAATGGCAAGGTCGAGTCTGCCCGCCTTGAGCAGTCCAATGCTAACGAAGTCATAGTCTTCCATCGTCATTTTGGACTCTAGCAACGCCTTGAGCTGCAAGTATAAAGCCCATGCCTTGATTTCGGCCTCTTTCCCGGGCTGTCTTCCCCAGGCTGTGATGACCGGAAGAAGGATGCGAGGCTCGCGCGATTTATCGTTGGCCATGAATGCTAAGGCAATATCTTGAGCTCGCTGCGGGTCATCTGCAGCCGCGAAGAGCTGTACACCAAGTTTCCAATATGCCTCAAGGTCTTCCTTCTTCTGGGAAAGGGATGTCTGACACGCTTCCCATTGGTCAAGTGCCAAGTGTATTTTGCCACTTTCTTGAAGTGACTGTATGTATGAAAGGGCATGGGGTGTAGGAAGAGATCTCCCGGCGGAAACTGTGTCTTCAGCCAGGGCCTGCAATCGAGTCGCGCGAGAAGCGCGCGTCAAATCCCCATTCACTTGAGACTCCCATATCATGGTCAATGCATCCTCGGGAATTGACTGGAGGAAGTTGGGGATAAGTTGTCGACAGCGGCGATACCACTTCCACAGTTCTTTCTTAGCATGTTCATCAGAATGGTCATTTGCCAATCGTCTGAGACACTCATTGAGCTTGTCGATGTAAGGATGAGTTTCTGCGTCGTTCAAGGTCACTTCGTAGGGCTGTCTCAGCACCGGTTCTTCCAAAGACCCTTCCTCCACCGCTTCCGACAGCCAATTTTCTTCCTCCATTGCCATGCCTTCAAACTCTTCCCTGAGCATATTATCCAGTTCGTCATCGAAGACCTTATCGAGACCCAAGTCGTCATCAGCTTCACCTGTCTCCTCCGCATGTTTTTGAAGGGCTTCAAGCGCTATCTTCCTTTCATGTTCCGGCAACTCTCTCATGAAGGCGCTATTCGGACCATAGGGGCCTTCACTCAGGACCTCTAATTCCTTGTCGAGTTGGGAAAGCTCACTCTCCACCTCTTCTTTCGCTGCACGATCTTCAGCCTCCGGATCTATTTCCCTCCTGGTCTTGCTCCCTCGCGTATCCTGCTCGTAAAAGCGAATCTTATCATCTTTTCCGCCATAATGTAGAAGCTGTGGCGCTAGAAAGGAGAAGGCTCGCAGTCGAGACAAGGACGTAATCGACGGGCTTTTGTGGGCCACATATTGATACCACCGAGCTCCTCGAGCAGCTTGGCGGAGCATGAAGTATTGAGTTTAAATCATCGGACGAAACTGTCGAGACACTAAAAGCAGGGACGTCAAGAAAGAAAATGGATAGATGAGGATCTTGAAGCTCCGCGGCGAAAGAGCCACTATTACCCGATCTAGCTTAGTGGCACACGCGGGTCCGCCGCGGTCATTTGAGGTGCACCGTTATTGTTTCTCAAGAGCTGTCTAGCCTACTTTTCCTACGAAGGCTTCGCAATGGACCCAGACCATATAGAGACGGATGCGCTGGGCTCATTTAAAGATGGATCAAGTAGCCAGGTACGTGGGAAAATTGACGTTCAAGGCTGCACTGAACTAATGCTGTACACAACTAGGGTGTCTATATCTATAAACCTTCTAATCAGAACAGAAGTCATGAAAGACCCTCGAAACGGCGAAAAGTACAATCGGAGAGGAAAGCCGAAATCAATCCTGCCTGTCCCTTCGTGCCCTTATTGAACGGCAACGAGCCCGAACCCGCTGTCAAATTAAGATACGAGACTTATCAACAGCTATGGTCCGATCAGGAAGCAAAGATCCACGTTAGTGCTATAAACAGCTCCTGGCATGGCTTGACATCTTCTAACTTCAAGTCAGGAAATTCTGGTAGATATCGACTCCGATGTTTATGAGAGAATTTCGTGGTTTGTCAAATCAACCTCATTCGAAACGTACGGATATCCGACCAGTTGCACTTGATTTTCGGGTTACAGAATCTAATTGGAAATAGATATAAAGGGTGCATACCGGCGGCGTTGGTCACTGTTGGATCGAATGTTTCCTCCCTCGGTCGGCTACTTGCGCGTTTGAATGATCAATTGACCTCAACAGGGGAGGGTGGTGTAGTTGTGCTGGAATCCGGGGATACGCCCAACCTGAAAACGACCCTGAAAAACATCATACGTGCCGCAGTGACGAATACGGAAGGAAATGATGGGTACCAGAAATTATTGACAGACCGAGAGGTTAGACTGCCGCCCTCTAATCCGAGCGTGACGAATTCGATGGCTTAGCGTGGTACAGGGACCAAGACTTCTAGCATACGACCTTGACTTGCTGAGCGACTATGTGAAAAGAAAGGGAGTCAAGAAGATGGTGCTCGCATTTCGAGACAGCGAAGCCTTCGATCCCACCATCTTGACAGACCTATTGTTGCTACTGAAGTGAGACCAGCGTCCTTAGTTTCGATTATCGAGAAACTGACATATTACTGCAGCTCATGGCTCGACAGAATACCTTTTACTCTATTATTTGGTATTTCAACTTCTGTTGAGCTTTTCGAAGGGAGACTTCCACGAGCGACTGTTGCCTTACTCAGAGGCAAATATTTTGAGATTCATGACGCGAGCAACTGTGTCGACCGCATATATGAGCGACTGCAGGCGGATCCGAGCGGCCATTTCTGGCTGGGTCGCAACATTACTGCCGTTCTGTTCGAGAGATCGAACGATTTCTTTCAGACGCCGGAGGCGTTCAGTCGAGTAATCAAGGTATCTTCCGGCAGCTCCGTCATTCAAGTTCCAATATCTCACAAACATCATGGCAGTATTCTTATATGACCCATTTTTTTGCGAATGCTTTGTCTGTACTTCTTGCAAATGATTTGCCTGGGACCCTTCGGAACGGTCCTCTTTGCGAAGCAATCAGAAACCTTCCATCCTTTCGAGGGTGAGTGTCTTTTTTTCCCTGCGGTTGCTTGCTTTGACTGAATGGTATGAAGCTACTGTGAGCATCTGCTTGAGGTGGGGTCGTTTGATCAAGCTCGCAGATTGCTGGAAGATGACGATTTTCTTTTCCAAGAAATTTTGCGGCATCTTAGATCCGGACAGCAGAAGATGCGTGATATCTTTCAGACTGTCAGATGGATTCAATCATGTCGCAGAAGTCTGAATCTCACCAAGAGAACAGATATTTCGGAACTTTCCATCCGTGCCCTATCAGGAGACCTGCTGAACTCCTCCTCTGTGGAGGACATGATGAAGATATTGAAAAGCCTGGATTCCAAAAGGCTGGGGGACATCTTCGCTAGTCTTCCGGATGGCTTGACGAAAGGCCAGGAATTCCAACAAATCAAGGGAGATTTAGATGCTCTATTGCAAGAATATCAAGGTGCTGAACCGCTTCGAAGTGAGTATGACAGCCGACAGTCCATGGTGGCAATGACCGTTGTTCAACAGCGGGTCAAACTCAGTAAGGGGAAAAACAAGGTGTCCAAACACAGCGTCGACTACACGAGGATCATTGATCGCTTTTATCATTTATTAGAGGCGTATCTTACGGAAACCCTGCTTCGGCCGCAGGACTTGTGCTTGCATGAGGTGTTCTTCCTCGACATGAGAAACCCTCTGAAAGAGACATTCGCACCGCGGCCTCGATTCGCCATTGAACGGGCTTTGTCAAATCCATTTGATTATCTGATATCGACCTCAGAGTCTTCTGAAAAGAAGCTCTCTACTAAACAGCCCGCCACAGCGATCTTGTATCAGCTTTACCTTGAGTCTGGCTCTCTGGTTAACGTATACGATATTTGGCAGGCCTTCTATGCGGTCTTCGAAAGCGAGCAAGGTGACAGCTGCGACGAACGAATGATCATGACTATGTTCTACAGGGGTTTGTCCGAGCTCAAAGCATTTGGCTTCGTCAAGAGCAGTCGGAAGAAGATCGATCATGTGACGAAGTCGGCCTGGATGGGGTTATGAGCGTAGCACGCAGAACTGGTCGCGAATATGCGAATTTGTAATATATAGTGCTATCAACATTAAAGGGTATCATGAATGTATGAGAAAATCATCGATCAAACAAATATGCAGAAAGTGATCAGGCAGAATATCACACAACCTCTCGAGAAGGATAGTCTTCGCTGTCGAAGATTTAAGGACATGCGGGCCGTTCCAGTCATTCTGCGATAGGTATTTGAAAGATATCTTCGTTATTCAAGGGATGAACTCCGTCGCTCAACACCATGGCTTCCCTCCTGCGCCTCCTGACGGCTTGTTCTTCTGCGGTTCCCCCGCGAAGCCTTCTGCCCGAAAGGCGCCTCGACCCGGCTGTATCTTCGCCATCGATCATCCATACATCGCTGTCATCTTCATCGTCATGGTCATTCTCCTCCATCATGCTGCCCATTAGACCATACTTTCTTAATTGTTTTGTACCGTCGGGATGAGATGATAGCGTGCTGAATATTGCACTCATGATCGTGTCATCAGACCACCAAGTCTTCATGAGTATCACCACGTCCTGCCTCCGTGACGGATTTGTCAAAGCACACGGGAATGGGTACTTAGAAAGCCAACGACTGACCACACCAGCTTCCAGCGCAGCAGGAATATTTTCTTGCAGGATCAAATTGAGAATACTGAGTGCTTTTTTCTCGCCCAAGGGTCTCGTTTTTGGAAGGATAGGCGAATCGGTGGTAGAGGTCTCTTCAACATGCTCCTCGAGGTAATTGCACAGACAATCGACGAGGGCTGTGTAGGTAGAGAGGTCTTTCAGGCGAGAACAGACGGCGGTTCGTGAAACTACATATTATCACTCAGTCAATATGCGAGCAGTCTAAAGTATATGTCGATGGAAACCGTACGCGCTCTATTAGATAGCAGGAAGTATAGCGCTGTTAGCGCTCTACCTCGTCGCTCTTTATTTTTGCTAGCCAGGTCTTGTAGAAGCAAATCCCGTGTCGACCCTTTCGTAGATCGCTCCGCAATGATGCGTAGTGCCCTAGACGGATCATTAGCCGATGTCAACGCTTCATGAAAGAAAGTCAGTGCAGCATACGCAGCACGCAGGTCGTAACTTGTGCTATCGGACAGCTTTAAAAGTGTATCTAGTTTGAGAGCTGCAATGGAATTTAGTCCCTGAAAAGCCTCTTTCTGCCATCGTTCAGCATACCATCCTCTGTGCCCTCACTGATTATTTTGTCTTCCTTTTCGACCTGCTTGATCTCCGTCAAATCACTCACGCGGCGGAGATCCGCAACAATTCCGCGGACGGCAAAGAAGAGAGACACGCCTGATAGGTTAGCTTTCTAAGCAAAATCGCGAAGCCGTATAAGTAGAACATACCCAGACATAACCAGACAAATCTATCACTCAAATGAGAAGCCATCTTGCTATGGCAATCCAGGTTCCCAAAGGACATCTGCATGTGAGGAGAAAGCGGAGTAGTTCGATGATCTCAAAAGCGGTGCGGCAGAATTTCCCCGACGAAAGCGGTGAGCATACTTTTTTTGCGGGCAATCATTGAAAAATGCATCGTCCAAAAAATTTCAGTGGAGCAGCAGGACGCTTTTACTCCAACACCAACACATCACCATGCCGCCTTCGCAGTTGAAGCAGTTGAAGGCGTCGCTTCGTGAGAGTGGTGTTCTAACTCCGCAGCAGTCGAAGAAGCAAAAGCGCCAGAATGCGAAGGCTGGCGTCAGCGCTCAGAATCGTGTGCAGCGGAATGCCGCTCTGCAAGCAATTCGAGATCGATTTAATCCGTTCGAAATTAAAGTAGCGTCCCGGAGCAAGTTCGATGTGACTACTAGAGATGGAGGCACTAAGCCGGCCGCTGGTCTGTCAAGGCCTGGAGTGACAAAGTCACTTGGAGAAGAAAAGGTGGGTTGAATATGGTTCAAATTGCAGATTACCCGGTAACTAAGAATTTGGTTCTATATGACAGAGACGCCAAACACTCCTCCGGGAAATGGAGAGGAAGAACAAGATTGGTGGTATCGTTGATCGCCGTTTCGGTGAAGACGATCCGACCATGACACCTGAGGAGAGAGCCGCCGAACGGTTTGCCAGAGAAAGTCAGAAGAAACTGCGCAAGGAGTCGATGTTCAACCTGGAAGAAGATGATGAAGACGATTTCCAACTCACACACAAAGGCCAAACGTTAACCCTCGGCGATGGTGCCCCTCAAGACGATTTTGAAGAGGACCTGGGTGGATTGGAGGAGGATCAGTCCGACTCGGAAATGTCGCGGAAAAGGAAAAGAATTCTCGATGATGATGGAGAGCTAGAAGATTTTGTCTTTGACGATGAGGATGGAGAGGATCAGCCGGAAAGGAAAAAGTCGAAACATGAGGTCATGAAGGAAGTCATCGCCAAGTCGAAGTTCTACAAGCTGGAACGGCAAAAGGCGAAAGAGGAAGACGACGATCTTCGCGAAGAGCTCGATAAAGGACTGCCCGATCTTTTCGACATGCTGCGCGGTGTAAAACCGCCATCGAAACCGGAGCCTGCGAAGGACGACCTGGAGTCGATGAACCCAGACCGTGCAGCTCTGCTGAAGGGGACCGCGGAGAATGACCCCAATAGAGAATACGACCAGCGGTTGAAACAATTGACGTTCGACAAGCGTTCTCAGCCAACAGACCGTACCAAGACGGCTGAAGAGAAGGCCGAAGAGGAAGCGCAACGACTCAAGGCCCTTGAGGAAGAGCGTCTCAGAAGAATGCGTGGTGAACAGGAAAGTGACGAAGAGGATGATGATGAAGGAAAAAGCGAAACGGGAGAGGAGGGGTCTGACGATGAATCCATTCCGGACGACGCGCTGGCATTTGGTCTGCAGCAGCCTGCTCCTCAGACAAATGAACATCCCGAGCTTGGAGTCGAAGACGAGGACGACTTTATCATTGACGATGATCTTGTTGAGACAAGGTCAGATGTGAGTCTCTCATTCGACGAAAGCGATGGAGAAGAGGTATCGTCTGAAGAAGAATCGGAGGAGGAAGACGAGGAAGAAGATGAGCTTATCAATGGGCTTACACTTCCTACCAGCAAATTTGGGGATTCCACAGCAGCAGCCGATGGTGCACAAAGGACCAGTGAAGGGTTGGCCTACACCTACCCATGTCCCGAAGATCATGAATCTTTCCTTGAAGTCATCAAGGATGTTCCCATGAATGACATGCCTATTGTCATCCAGCGGATTCGAGCCCTGCACCACCCGCGTCTGCACGCCGACAACAAGACGAAGTTAGGGCGCTTCGCTGCTGTCCTTGTCCGTCATGTTGCTTATATGGCTGAGCAACCCGAGCATCCTCCTTTCACTATTCTCGAGGCCATTCTACGTCACGTTCACTCTCTGGCCAAGTCCCACCCGGAAAGCGTATGCATGGCGTACAGAAGGTATCTCCGTGAGATTGCGGCGGACCGTCCCCTCAACCTGCGCGCTGGAGACCTTGTCATTTTAACAGGCATTGCAACCACCTTTCCAACTTCGGATCACTTCCACGCCATTGCTACGCCTGCCCATTTATGTCTTGCTCGGTATTTAGGTCAAGGAGCTATCAATACGCTCGGTGACTACGTCACAGGTGCCTACGCCGCCAGCCTGTGTCTCCAGTACCAGACCATTTCGAAGCGGTACATGCCCGAGTTCGTCAACTACGTGCTCAATGCCCTCTGCAATCTCTGTCCGACAGAACCAAACAGCAGCCTTGGGTTCTTCCCGGCAAGGGGATCCCAAGAATCGCTACGACTGATCCCCTCTAAACAGCTAAACCCTCGAAAGCTCCGATTCTGGGATATCGCCACCGCCCAGTCGGATCAGCGGTCCCAGAACGAGCTCAAACTTTCTCTTATTCACACATTTGTCACCCTCCTCAATTCTGCGTCCGATCTGTGGACTGGCAAGTCGGCATTCTTCGAGATCTTCGAGCCGGTGCAGCAAGTGCTCCGCCACGTAAGCAAATCCACCAAGGGTAAGCTCTCGTCCGCCGTCCAGGACAATCTGCAATCGACACTGGACAAACTTGACTCACATCTCTCCCGCGCGCGTGTAACCCGCCGGCCATTGCTGCTGCACAACCACCGCCCGCTGGCGATCAAGACCGCTATTCCCAAGTTTGAGGAGACCTTCAACCCGGACAAGCACTACGACCCCAACCGCGAGCGGGCGGAGCTCAACCGCCTCAAGGCGGAGTTCAAGCGCGAGCGCAAGGGTGCCATGCGCGAGCTGCGCAAGGATGCCAACTTCGTTGCGCGCGAGAAGCTGCGCGAGAAGAAGGAGCGCGATGCCGAGTACGAGAAGAAGTACAAGCGGCTCGTGGCGGAGATCCAGAACGAGGAGGGGCGAGAGGCGAATGCGTACGAACGGGAGAAGAGGAAGCGCCAGGGGAAGTGGTAGTACCTTTCACTCCTCTCATGACATCTTTGATACTCAGGCCGTCTGTGGTTACGGGATTCTTGGTTTCTCTGGCATCGTTATCGTCGAAGGCGTACCAGGCTTCAAGGCTTTATTGTATATACAGTTGTCACACGGCACAAAAGAAATTTCTCCTTTTTTAACCCGTCATCCTACCGTAAAACAGAGGGCCCCAGTTAGTGTACCCGATCTAGATTTACTGGCCCAGCGCCGTCCCAATGCTGGTCAGGTATCCACACCTCTGCTTCTGATCAACTGGGACGCTTTCCATTTTCGTTTCGTTCGTCTTGATGAAAATACGGCTGTACCCTCCCCCGGCACCCCAAGTCTTCCATTCGGGGCTGCCAGGATAGCGATGAGTATTTGGACTGAACGTCTTAATGAAGCTTGTCCAGTAACCCTGCATGACCGGGACGATGGGAGCGTTCGTGGTAGTATAAGAGTGAGGTGCACCCCCGTTCGTGTACTGGGGCCCCCAAATGGCGTTGACTTCCACTGTATGGGACACACCAGTACCTGACGCTTGAGCTGCTTCATCTTCCACGGCGTAGTGATAGTTCCAACTCTTGGCCCCAGCATTTTCGTAGATGGTTGACAGGTCGATGCCAGGACAGATGTAGCGCATCTCTCCATAAGCGTTGCTTGCAGGTCTCCACCAAACACTAGCATTTGGGAAAGACTGAGTCTGGTTTTCCTGCAGATACAGCTCGTTAATCTTGGCTAAGTGATGAAGCTGAATTTTCGGGAATTGGTTTTGAAGGAACTTGTCGGCTTCCGAGACGCTGGCAACATCTTTCGGGACGAAAAGGGTGCCTTCGTTCGTGTCGTCGCCGAAGATGACTGGCACCTTGATGAACTTGCCTTGATGGAAAAGACGATATGTATAGTCGGCCACGAGGTCTTCGTCGACAATCGGCCCGTACATGTACAGCGGCGCCTCTTGCGCTCCAGGGAACGGCGTGTTAAAATTCTGGCGCTGAAGGCTTGCTATATCAAGATTGCGCAGACACGCGAGTGTGTCATTTTCGCTCGCACAGTTGGTGCGGATGACCAGGTTGTTGTAAGCAAACTGGCTCTCAGCCAATGTAAGCATGGTGCCAAAGCTTTGTGACTCTGCAGCTGCAGCGTGGAATAGGCCATCGTTTCTTCCCCCGTGGGCTGAGAGCAGCAGGGTGATGGAAGCAGCCCCTGCGCTATCACCGCCGAGGACAACATGATTGGGGTTGCCGCCAAACTTGGACGAAGAGTTAACCACCGAAGCCGAGAAACAGATAGAGCAGGAGACGCCTCACCTTGCTGATATGTTTCTGCACCCATTTGAGAGCCTTGATCTGATCTTTGAGGCCGTTATTCAAACTTCCACCATTCTGCACCTCCGTGCTAGCCAAGAACCCGTAAGGTCCAACTCGGTAGTTGAAGGTAACCACGATGATTTCCGAGCCAGACGCTTCGATCAACCCGGTTCCATTGTAGTTTGCATTTGAATTCGAGTTGAACCCACCACCTTGTATCCAGAAGAACACAGGGAGATTGGACGCACTCCTTGGGGCATACACATCGATGAACAGGCAATCTTCAGACTTACTGGAGCCCACAGGGTATTCTCCGGTTGGGATACAAACGGGGCCGTGCTAGGTGCCCAGATCGTCAGCATGGGAAACTTACGGCATTTAGGTTTTGCCTGAATATCTACTACCTTGCTTGCTTCTTGAACACCCTGTGTTCGAAGCGGATCCTGCGGGGCAGCAAATCGCAACTGTCCGACAGGAGGGGCAGCATAACGCATGCCCAGCCACTGTACAATGCCGTTCGAGAGCTCATGGCCTTGGTACTGTGTGTACCCAAGATCTACCACAGCCTGCCAGGCAGATGCAGCAGGAAGTAGTAGCAGAATTAAGGCGTAAAGATTGTTCAGGTGCATTTTTCCTGCAGCACACCCAATCGGCACAAAATTGACTATAGACAATGGCTCGAAAGAATACTCCAAAAGCGAGTGATCAAACACTATTTAAGTGATACCCTGCACCGGGAATACACTGTCGCTGGCCCCAGATTCTCTGACCTCAGATTCTGGGGTCTCTCCCGGCACGAGTCCACCAGTAAATCCGGGACCAACGACTTCCAAGTGAGATCAGCGCTCATTGAGTTGGGGAGTAATCAAGTTGGTAAACTAAGCCACAGATGGTCATTATTGGCGTTATAGCCCAAGTACAACCATGGCAGGAAATAAATATCCGCTAGGAAGAGAAGCGGATCGACATGTTAACCTATCATCTCTTCGGATATTCCGTCCTGATGAGCCTAGAAAGTCAGAAGGAGCTCCTGGCAAACAAAAGTGGATGCCGTTTTCCAAAGGTTGCAACATGCTTGGCTGTTTATCTGATACTGATAAATGTCAGCACTGGGTGCTGGAGATATGCAATTTGTTGATACTGCGAGGCTGCCTCTCCTGTGCTGACATCATAACAATCATTTGATTGAGATTTCATCCAAAGAATGGCTGGGCAGGACAATGACGGCTTCCTGCATCCCCTCATGAACTCATCTCAAGTGTGGGGGAAGTGAGACAAGTGTGTCGTGTGTGTCGTGCAGAAGAGGCCGGAATAGTGATGAAGTTTAGCACGCGGGAAACTGTGGAGAGAGACAAAAAGTCCTTGCTTCATTTGGGTTATTTCCTTCCCCGCAATCAAGAAAACCCCAGTCTCAGCAATTAGCAAATTAATTTCTCGCCATCATTTGTAACATCTTTTCCTTGGCATGCAAATCCCATCTAGCCTTTGATCTCAGGTTGTCAATTAAATCCCGGCTAATCCTCGGCTCTACTTTTGGTCTCCGACAGTTGGCACGGCGCAATCACACCATGCCCCCTCACCCACACCCGGCGAACGGAGCAGAAGAAGAGGAGGATGACTACATGTGCATGGTGATTGAGGAGCCACAGCAGAAGGAGACTTTTGCTCAGAAAAAGCTCCGCAAGCAGCGAGAGGTCCGTTTCTTTGGGTTTCCCACTCGATAACAACAAGCAGCGCTAGACCCCAAAGCTAACTTCCCCCGCGTCCTAGGCAGAGGCTCGCGCCAAAATTCCCTCGAAAGCCGAACGTGCCGCCGAAGAAGCCGCGCGTCGAGATGCAGCCCTGTCCAAGAGCACGCTGGACCCCTCCAACAAGGGGTTCCAGATGATGGCCAAACTCGGCTTCAAGCCCGGTCAGACTCTAGGAAAGCCGCAGACACCACCTGGGGATAGTAAGCCCTCACCTGGAGATAGCCAGCCCTTGCATGACGATAAAGAGGAACGGGTACGATCTGAGCCGCTGAACTTAGTGTTCAAAGAGGGCCGCGGAGGCATTGGGTTGGACAGTGAGAAGAAGCGCAAATTCCGGGAAGAGGCGGAAGAGGCGCTCAAGAAGGTTAAGCAAGAAGAAGGCGATTACAGAGACCGCGTTCGGCAGGAGCGCGAGACAAGACGGACGGAAGCGCAAGTGTACGCGGCGCAAAAGGTAGCCGAGCGACTAGACGCCGAGGCTGAGACTGAGGCTGCGGATGGGGTCGTGGAAACTGGAGAGGCGAGCCAGATGGAGAAGGAGGATAAATTCCTGGATAGGGAGCAGTCCCTCGATGAGGGCTCAGCGGAAGATTTGGCCGGTGAATCGCGCGCGGCACGCGCCAAGGTGAGGGTCAAGCCCACGTCCCAGATCAATGTCTTGTACAGGGGCTTGGTGCGCGAGCGTGAGGAGAAGGAGCGAGCTCTACAAGTGCGCCATGCTCTTCAGACTTCGCTCCCGTCGTCATTCTTCCCCAACCCCCGGTTACCGGGGTATAACGATCCTACGCTGGAGCCAGACGACAACGAAGCGCTCGGCTCCGGGCAAGACACGTCTACAATACTGGAACAAGAATTGGAGGAAGAAGACCCAGAACTTGATGAGTTTAACGCGCTGGATCCGAGTGAACGGCTGGCTCGGTTAGTCCTATATCTGCGTGAACGGCATCGATACTGTTTCTGGTGCAAGTATCGCTACGAAACTGACGAGATGGAGGGGTGTCCAGGTCTCACTGAAGAAGATCATGATTGACATGTGTTCATATCGAGGCCAGAATTCAGATTCTCAGAAATCTAAGCAACTTTAGAATTGTACAGCATACCCTTGAGGAGTATCATAGCGAAGAACAGAGAACATCATCCCCTCTAGCTCCGACCAAAATGGTATATAAACAGACTCAAAACTCCCGTCATAACACATCCAGAGTATAGCATCACATTTAGGCAGGTCATTGACCGAACGGAGCATTGAAAATAGATATATAATTCCCGAAATTGTCGATCATATCGACATCGACGACAGGATTACGAGCTATCAGCTGATCCACGGCGCGTTAAGAATTTGCAGGCGTCGTCTCCATCAATCGAGCCAGCGAGCGATTCGGCACCTTCTGCAAGCTTTGATAACAGTCCGCGCAGATGCGCAAGCAACAAAAGACACATCTGTAGCGCATCTCCCGGTCGAATTTCTGACAGGCCATGCAGGGCAGCGAATACCAGACATTGTTGGCCGGCATCATGCTCCGATGCTCCTGGAAACAAGCATAATGTAATCGGTTCAGAGGCACTGTGACCGGTTCGATCTCAGGAGGGGTGAAAGGCCCATTGTTCTCGTCACTCGACACAGAGCCGAGGCGTCCACTGGCACCGTCCAGTTCCGGTTCGTGCTCAGGCTCAGGCTCGGGATCAGGGATGAAGTCTTCTAATGGATCGCCTGCATCTGGCGGTACTGAGTTGGAAGGGGTCTGCTGAGTCGGGATATGGACTGGTAATCCATCGCGGGCTCTGGCAGGAGGCGCATAGTTGTGGTGCCGCGCAGCTGGGATTTCGTTTCTGAATGCTGGGTGGATATCCTCTGGTCCTAGGGACGCCGATGCGGGAGGGAAAGACGGCAGTGGGCTCGGGGGCAGTTCCTTGTCATTCTGTGGTCGTGCAGGTCGAACGGGGGCAGAGTCGGTTCGGACGGGATACTGAGGAGGAGCAACGGGAGCTGGAGGCGCGGGAGCAGCAGAGACAGGAGCGGGAGCTGGAGCTGACTCGTGGTCGACGGCTTTCTTAGATTTGAAGGCGGAAAGCGACGGAACTCGCAGTCCACGATGCCGATTTTCCTTCTGCAGAACGGCCATGTCGTATGAGAATGACGCTTTGCTTCCAACCAGAAATATCCGAATCGAGATATTTTCGATATTGAAATTTCTCGGGATGATTTGAAGCAATTGAGCAGAAAAAAGACTTTCGGTCAATGCGAGCAGACAGATTCTGGGGGAAATAGAGACTTCAGCAGTGCAGAGTCTGTGGAGAGGTTAGATTTCTCTTAAGATACCGGAAAGAAGCAAAAAGACACCAGTAAACAAGAGTACGAAGTATCATTCGTGATCATCTGAGTTGACTACGTGGGTTCTTGGTATTTTGCAATCATTCTTATGGTCCAACCAAGCAGGATTCCGTCCTGATAAATCCGGGTATCCCGTCAGAGAACCATGGACTGGACGTATCCACTCTTAGGGACTTCAGTTAGTGGTAGGGAATAAATAGTCCTATAATCAGGGCCAGTTGTGACACGCCGGAGATTAGGATGGGCTGAGGTCTAAAAGTGCTCCAATTCTGGGAGTCCATTGGTGTGCTCAGCCTGCCGTTTGCGTTATCTAGTACGGAGTAGAAGAGACGGAAAGAAAAGGCGCTGGGCCGCTTTCAGGGCAAATGAAGATCCGAAAGTGGCCATTTCTTTCAGGTACAGATTCCAAAGGTGATAGATCATCTCTTTTTGATCCTACCTACGGCGTGATGGTCGCCTCTCTGGCAGGATTCAATAATAGGTAGACTAGTTTATGATTGATTATGCAGGCGCTAAGGAGGAAGCCTTCAAGGCAACCGAAAAAATCGGGCAGACCAGAAGGCCGGCTTTACAAGTTCGACGAACTACCGGAATTTTGCATAGGACTAACAATGACAAAAGTACCCCTTCAAATATTTGATCATAGAAACAGTAGTACCCCTCGCAATGAGACTAATAACGACTCGCATCAAGTGGTAGATAACCTGGCGGAAAACTGTCAATCGTCAATCTCAAATACATGTTTTACATCTAAGGGGAGCTGTGGGGGCTGTGGATCTCGATGAGGATAAAAACAGGGCACTAACAGTAGCAGGAGGAATGCAGGTACCCTTCCATGTATCTTTCTATCCATGCGTACATCAGAGTGATTTTAACGTCAGGCGGTGATCTGACTATCATCCAAAAAATAAACTGGAAGAATGCCTTTTGATCACCACTTGAGTCTTTCTTTGATTATACAGACCATGTGAGTATATGCACCCTCACACTAATGGCATTGAGCGAAACGCCATCTGAAACAATCGATCCATGAAAAGATCTAACTAAGCCTCCCGATCTACCGAAATTAAGTAGGACTAACTAAGATAGTACTTACAATACGCTTGTTGGCAAAAGTTCTATGATTGATCTGAGAGACTCAGCATCGTTCTGACTCGGGGCTATGGCACACAGTGGGCTGGCCTAATAGGGAGCTGTCCTCCGTCCTCTGTCTGGGAAGATCGGTCAAATTACTGACACTGATACAATTCTCAACGATCGTGCTCCATGATCTATCCAAAGACTGTAAAATATTTGATTCGGCCCTGTCGGAAGGAAGGACTCATACCAAACCATATTTGAAGCTCATTTATCCCTCTTGGGAACCGTCAAAAACAGAAAATGTTGCCGCCATAAAACTAGATGAAATCTCGCTGCCCATCTGCGCTAGTACAGAAACAAAATCACATGAAAGGGAAAGACAGATCTACTGCACTGTATATGTATATAAAAGAGGTCAACCCGCCGAGAGAATATAATGAGATACGGAGCGAGGGATGAGGTAAAGAAGGAAAAACTCAAGGAGTAACATAGCGATTGTCGCCAACTGTAAGTGCTTTCCGGCATGGCTCGCACTTAGCCGGGTCTCTCGTCATATATGAGTCAATGCCGTGGGGAGCTGAAATATCCTAGGATGAACCTTTCTAGCACTTCCTCAAGTCGTTGCCTCGGCATTTCGTGTGGCGCTGGTAATCTCCACCGACCGAGTCTCGAGTTCCTTGGGCATCAAGCAGTCCCGGTCCTCTGCGACGGCTCCGACAGCTATCGGGTCAGCAGGCGCAGTGGATTGGCCAGGCATCTCATTGGCCACAGGCGCAGCGCTGGAAGCTGACCCCTCGGCGCTCGGTTTCGATGATGTATCTTCCACATGCTCTGCAGTTTCATCGCCTTTGTCTTCATCTCCGATAACAGCAGCTAAACTGCGGAAGTTGAACATCGGCTCGGTGGATGAAGCATTGCCATCGTAAGCCCCGCTGTGATCTTCTCCCGTTGATTCGACAAGTGATGAGAACGACGAGGACGCACTGGACACCTGACGCAGATGCGATGGTTTTGGCGGCTCGCGGGGCGAAGGCTGAGCCATCGAAGGCTGCGCGCTTGATCCCTGTTCCACCAAGTTTGGGTGCGGGTTGATGATCATAGAATCAGAGGCGATTTCAGTACTTGACTGCGAGGGAGCAGCGGCAGCAGGTGGCGATGCGCGATCCACTGCCTTGCCCTTGCCCGGAGATGTATCCTCGCCAGTTATCGAGGAGGAGCTGCTGGTGACCCTTCCAAGTCGGGCGTCCGAAGGAACGTCCAAAGCGGAGCTGCTGGCATTGTTGCTGTAGAACCCATGCTTGCGCGCAGCTTTCTCTGCCTTTTTGCTTTCCTTCTCTCGCCGCTTTGCTTCTTTCTTGGCCTCTTTCTCGGCCTTTTTGCGTCTCTCTTCCTCGCTAGCCAAGCTCAGTCTGATCGCTTCCATCATCATCATCTCTTCAAGATCATCGATACGGTTCCGTCTCGAGCTGTTACGCGGCGGTGCTAGATTTCCTGCGCCTTCTTCTGTTGAGTCTGTTTCATGCCCCGGCGCACGTCTGTCGGTCAGAAATGCAAGCGCCTGTAGAGCTGGGGAGCCTGAGCGGCTTGAGGCACTCGGAGTCTCCGATGGACCAGTTCTCCGCATCACGCCTCTGCGTCCAAGGCTGAAATTCCTGCTTTCATTCCCCGATGCATTAGAATTCATTAAATATGCAGCGGTATGCAGAGCCGTCGCTGCGGCGGATCTTCGCGCAGCATGAGCCCGGGCATTCGCTAGTTTTTGAGCCCAATCAGGACGAACTCTGTCGGTTGTGATGACCGTAGGGTCATTGGCAGACAGCGAGGTAGCGCGCCGACGGCCCGTCACTTGAGGCGCATTGGCCGAAGCTAAAGATGACGTGGAGGACACTGGTGAAACAAAGTTGGGGCGAAGTGTAGGATCTGTTGCATAAACGAGCCCTCTGCGGAATGGTGGAGGCGTGTATGTCACTCCAAATTCGGGTTGTACGCAAAATGGACATGCAGCCGGCTCTGATACTAGTTGGCAGTCTTGATTGTCCTGACGGTCACCTTCCGTGGTGATGGCATTGGGTTCCGCTTCCCCGTGTTCTGGCGGATGTGGATCAGGCCGCTTAATTTGAACGAAGCATTCCGAACAGATAGGCTGGTCGCAACATCTTGTGCGGTTAAGGTAAGGGGGATAGTATAAGAAGCATATCGGACATTCGGTCGCATCTTTATACAGATAGGCTTCTATTGGCTGCCCATTGACAAATGGGTCTTTAGGTAGATGTATCTCCTTAGGGGCCGAGTCGATCTGAGAACCAAGCTTGGATGTGGTGAGTGAAGCCAAGGTTTTCGCCCGGCTTCGAAACAACGGTGAGGTCGAAGTACCGGAAGCTATGGGAGAGACGGGCGTTGGCAGAGAATGCGCTGGGGTTGATGATTGCGAGGCTTCCGACCCGTAGGACTGCGACCTTGACGTAATTGGCACCATCAAGTGTTGAATGCTGGACTCCTTCCCATCTTCAGTCAATTTCGGCGGGTTCTTATATTCCAGCTCCGAAGGAATCTCGTCTGGTGGCGGTATTGGCAGGCCACGCGCTGCTGCCATCAATTGATGCTCAGTCCACGACTCCGAGAAATCGTTCAGTCCTCTCCAAAACGGCGCGAGTCTCCGTTCAATCTGAGCCACAGATCAGTTTAGGTCCGGGGTACGCTGTAGGGGAGGTAGTTACCATCAGTTGCCGAGTCACTGCTTTATTGAAATCCTCAGTGCCCACGTAAACGCCTTGCGTAACTAAATAACCGCCGTCGACATGCTCTTCCTTCATGCTGCGCTCTCGTTCTTTGACCCTAGCTGCCCGCTCCTTTTCTAGCCGACGAGCTTCTCGCTCCTGCTTTGTCTCTCTCCGATGCTCAAGAGTAGCCACATCTCTCTCGGAGCTCCCACCGATTCCGAGAATAGATAGGTCTGGTCTGCTACCTCGAGATCTGGAACTTTCCGCATGATGCCGGTCGCTGTATGGCGATCTCCCTTGACTGCTAGAGGAGCCCCATTGATGACTTCGGCGATTAGAAGTACTGAGAGGAGGACGGGATTCTTTAGTCTGCGAATTACCCATCCTTACCCTAAACTAGAGGGTGGGTTGCAATACAGAACGAGCTTGTCAGGATGGTTCGGGACGAACTGCGGCCAACTCGTACTTCAAAGGCGTTTCGAATTCAACGAGGCCAGTTATAGGTGAATATGAATTTAACAAATGTATCGATGAAGAGGCCCGGCAAAATGAGGCATGGAAGAAGGCAAGTTTCAGTTCCTAGAGCGGGGATGCAAATGATGTGATGATAATGAACCCGATGTGGCCATGTGAGCGACAGATGTGGCTACTCAGTGCGGCGATGAGATCAGAATGCGGGCTTTGAGTTAGCCGCGGGAAGATGGAATACGCCGGATCAGGGAGATCTGGTATCAAACTTGGGAACTGAGAGAAGTATCGAAAACAATAGTAAGAGAAATACTCGAAGATACTGATAAGCGGGAGCTTTCAAAAGAGTAGGAAGGACTGGGAAAAGAGACAAGATTTAGAGAGGGAGGATTGGGCTCCCAAGATAGTTGAAGTTACTAAGGTGAGATCGATGACTTTTTGAGTTCAATAACGGCAAGGTAATAGCCCATACATACATCATACCTTACCAACAATACTAGCGCAAAAAGTCGCATTCGGCTTGTAAATTTGGTAATATGACAGGTAACATGCAGTCATCGATCATTTCCATTCCATAAAAGAGGCTGTGGCTACTCCGTACACCAGTTAGACCCTTGTAAACGCCCTTATTCCGTAGATCGGTGACAGTGGGGGTGCGATCAATGTGGACACATGTACTTCATAGTCTGACCTTATACGGAAGTACTCCGTGCTGCCCATTAATAGCGCTTCTGGATACGGAGCAGGAAGCAAGGTAGAAAGGTTTAATACCGCAGTTCAGCATGTTGAGGCTACCGAAGTATGTACTATCTCTCCTATTTTCTCTTGTGCAGTGCGATAACGATGATAACACCCTTCGGTCCGATGTCATGCATTCTTGTGTATGGAGTTACCTTCACAAGTACCTACCACGCATCTACCTGGCCTTGGCAGGACATATCACATGTGGCTAGTGAGTTCGTTTGCTGCGCCACACGTGCGCCTGGATCTGGCGGTCGAAAATCCCAATGCCAAGAACATTATTTTTCGTCTGCTCAGCTAGTTTGCGGCTCCATTTGCATTCAATGTTTTTGGAGAGCCAGCTCATGTTATTGATTCTGTCTCTATCGTGTTCATTTCATAGACCGTCGCTTTGCATGATCCAATCAGATGCCCCTTTCTTGAAATTTCCAGTATCTGTTCCAACTCATCGGTCACTCAAAGATACACGGGATTTTCTCGATACCGCAAATGACTACCACAGCATCAGAGACCACGCGCCTACACATCACTCCTTTCACTCCAGATCTCTTACCCTCTGTACTACCGTCTTCGGTCCGACCGTCTGCAACAGATATCTCTTTCCATAGCATTCCAACATTTCCCGAGAACAATTACGGCTACGTGACACTACCGACAATGGAAGCGGATAAGATCAAAAAGAAACTCAATGGTTCAATTCTGAAGGGAAGAAAGTTTAGAGTCGAGACTGCACGGTCGCCGAAACGACAAGAAGTGGAAGTTGAAGCCGACACTGTCAAGTCCACCACCAAGACTACGTCCGACAACGTATCCAAAAAGCGCAAGGCCCATGACAACGTTCTCGATGGATACGAGCTTCCGTCCGGCCGTCAGGTGAAAAGAGGGTGGACAGAGTCTACCAATGCCAAGAACGAGAGACGTAAGGGTGAAAAGATGAAGAAGGGAAAGGAGGAGAAAAAGTCAAAGACCCAAGCAAAATCGAAGTATACTGAGAAATCAGAGTGCCTCTTCCGAACCAAGTTACCCAAGAACCGATCTGCGTCTCCCGATGAGAAGCAGGAAAAGCAGGCCAAGAAGAAAAAAAAATCTCCCCAGGAATCCGTTGTCCATGAGTTCGCCACAACTATCACCCAACCGAGCTTCTTACGGTCGGAAGGAGATGGAGCAGCACCCACATCTGCGTTTGAGGAAGGCAAAGGTTGGATAGACCATACAGGAAACCTGAAGGAGACGGTTAGTGATCGTTTGAGAAAAGACCAATATCGGCCGGGGCAAGTCGCCGGGGCTAAAGAGAAGCGAAAGTCGGTGAAAGCTCCTACAACGGCGCAGGAGACACATCTTGAGAAAGCCAAGGATGACAAAATTGACTCGGCAGACGAGTCAGAAGATTGGACTTCTTCTAGTGGGACGACGTCATCTGATGACAGCAGAACAGACTCAGAAAGCGAAGACAGCATGTCGTCTGCATCTTCTGAATCAGGCGCATCTTTCAGCCAAGACGAACAGCAACAATTACATACATTGCCGGTAAAGGGAGAGGCGTCTTCTCCTCCGAAGACTGACGAGCCTGAAGTACCTGGTAGTGCTCCGCCCTCTGCGGAAACGACTCATGGAACGGCTTCCAAGGATGTGCACCCCTTAGAAGCCCTTTTCAAGCGGCCAGCTGTCGAATCTTCAGATAGCAAACCCGCCCCGGAAACTAACACCCAATTCAGCTTCTTCGGACAGGACGACATCGAATCTGAAGAAGAGGAAGAGCAGAATAAGGAGCCGCAGACACCCTTCACAAAGAAGGATCTACTAAGTCGGGGATTACGAAGTGCTGCTCCTACACCAGACACAGTCTTGATCAACCGAAAATTCGATTGGAACAACGATGATTCTGATGCCATGGAAGTGACTGAATACACAGACACTCCCATTACTAGGTCTGAAACTAAGGCAGGCTTGAAAGAGGATTCGGAATTCACCAAATGGTTTTGGGAGAATCGTGGAGATAATAACCGTGCCTGGAAGAAGCGCCGGCGCGATGCTGCCAAGGAACAAAGACAACGAGAGAACCGCAGAAAGGGAATGAAGGGCAAATCCTGATCAGATGGTTCGTGGTTCCGTCGATGTCAGATCATATATTATGGCGTATAAATAATGGAGACCTCTACCCATTCTGAGAGATCTCAGATCTCAAACCAATGAAGTATGTAGCTTGGAACACTTACGGTAAGTCACATGACCTCAAGACACTAGGGAAAGCTGTCATCGCAATGTTGCCATGCACGTCGTATCGTGCAGTATAAACAGTACACTAAAATGACTACTACACCGAAATATCCCTGCTAAATTAAAGATTATATTCATCTTCCTTATTAAATTATATCTACGTCATGTCACCCCGAAGTAGCAGTCTCTATCTTCTCTTCATGGTCGTAGCGCTTCTGTCCTGTACATCCTTCACATTAGCTTCCAGTGAGTTCGACCCTCCCATCGCTATCTGACATTCGTGGCTGTCGACTGACAATCCCTATTTGATGACTAGCACCCGCATCATTCTGCAAATGTACCTGCTTTACAAATAGCACGATCATACCCCTGGACTCTGCGAATCCCGAATCGACACCGCCTCTTAATTCCTTTGACCTTCGCGATGACAATGCTACGTCTCACGAGAAAAGAGTCAACAAATATCGCGCTCTGAGCTGCAATGATTGCAATCGCAAGTTCTGCCTGGACTATAATCTACCGATGTGTAAAGGCGCAAAGGAAGACGATGTCTTCACAACCTGTTTCCGTATGGCGTAGCCCTCCACTGCCTGGTCGAAGAAATCTTGACAAAGGCTATCCCATATTCTCTGGAGCTATATCGGCTGACCTTGTGGCAATCAGAGCGAGATTCCAGGAAGGATGAGGCTATAGTCTTCATCTTCATCATCGCCACCAGCGGTCTCCTGACCTGGGCGGCTTGCAAGCCATGGGTTGAAAAGTGGCTTGAGGTATGAGGTGGTCGGGGCCGAGCTTCTTCAGAACAGCGGACTAACTTGATATGTTCAGGCAGCACGAGAAAGACGATCATATATTCCAGTTTCTGAGAACGTTGAACGTTAGCAATCGATGCCAGGATGATTGTCGGTTGATCGATACATCAGTTCTACTTCTTCATTACTTGGCTTTGTTTCGCGATACCCTCTATGAAAACTTCCTTCTGCTACGCTGTTTCCGGCATCCTCTCACGCAACTTGCGCAGTGCGCTTCAGTTACAGAGGCTTATGGTTGCTCATGTGCTCACTGACGGAATATAAGACCTACAAGGCCTGGTCCTGATTTGGATCCGCTGACAAATAGGAACAATCCATTAGTTGTACAGGTTGAGGATCACTAGACATTACCTCCAGGCGCAGACCAAAAGGGTTTCCGCCCGCGCCAGGTTAATTGGCCTAAAAGCTCACCCGTGGAGGCCAAATCGACTTATCGACAAAAACACTAGTACATTAACACCTACCTTAGTGCGACGATGGTCTCAGAAATCTGAGTGCGCTGCCAACCATTTATAAGCTCCCCGTTACAAGTACTTGCATTCCATCTTCACGGCCTCCCATTGTTCTGGCAAGCCTCACTGCTCTCTCGGTGGTTGATGCACTTGTAACCGTAGTCCGGGTATCAAGTTCCTTCCGCATTGCGGAGTACAAAGTGCATCAGCCATCGATTCGAGGCTCAGAGACTTCGGTGACTCGGTCTGATCACACAATGTTAGCTCATCAGTAATGATCTGCAGAAGCTTCGACTGTTCTACTTACCGATAGAGCCATCCTCTTTCTCTTGATAGGTAGTGAAAATGACATGGTCAGGTTTCTGTTTCAGAGGACTGCATGCGCGAGAGATCGTACGAGCGTCACCCCATCTCTCGCTTCTGATAAATAACTGAAAACAAGGGAGCGGCACCTTCTGAATTTGGATGACGGGCATTTGAACTGAATTCATCAACTTATTGTCATTACTGGCATTCCTAGCAACCCATTCTGCAGCTTCTTCCAGACTCAGAACGTTGTGCGCCCCATCCACAACCCATTATATCTGCCCTTCTCTATAATTTCAAATCTCCCAGTCAACAAGAAACTTTCCGTATCATGGTAGATGTCTTCATCACTAATGATATGGCTAGGCGCCTTAGCTAAAGAAAACGCTCTACTGAGCTCAAGTGCCAAGTGCAGTTCAATCATTATACTGGGACACTGAGTACTCTATCATCTGCGGGAAGGAGATCATCAATTGAAACGGACATCAAAGTAGCGTCTTTCTCAAGAGCACGCTTGCGCATAACCTCCGCGGGGCCCGATACCTGATATACGGAGAAAGCAGGTGTGCTCGATTTAAATATTCCCGCTTTTATCCCCTCTCTTGCGACAATGAGGGAAGCCAACAGGGCCAGAAACCTTAGGTTACAAGGCTGCCTCGCAACTCCTGAATCCTGCTCTATATCCTCCAGCATAATGCGCGCCCACACTTCGAAGGATGGCGCAGATAAAGCAAAGTGCTACCTTTCCCCTTCGTGCCGCTGACAACAATCACATTCAAGCTCTGGACTGCATATCCTAGAACAAATCAGAACGGCCGATGTATCGCAGCTCATAAAACTCGTACAATCAGCACCTAAATATGTACATGCCACCAAACGATGAATACTCCCTCCGCGGAAGTCCAACTAAGGTATGTTTGTCCATGGAGATATAGATCAGACCTACTTCAAGATGATTAAAATTTAGATTGCCCTACCCTAATAGGGGAAAAATAAAAACATACAACAGCCGGGATTCGCTGGTGGTCACCCACCCAACTACTAACCGGCCGGCGTGTGGCTTAAGTATGGCTGAGCGGACGGGAAGCCCTGTTTTCCACACCCTATGGTCGTATGTGCTAATTAACGAGATGTTAGTAATTCATATGGAGATTCACATACGCAATAATCCCAGGATTTCATCTCGACAGCTATGGGGACGGAAACTACTGTTGATCATGTGAATCATAGGACTGAAACTCTATCATGAAGCAGTCGCGCATCTCTCTATTGTATTCAGTTGGCATCTGAGAACATTGCTGGAAACATGGGAGAGAGAGGCAGACATATGCGCAGTCAACATGTAACAGTTGGGCCACAGCGACATGATTGGCTGTTCACCTAAGAAATCCCTAGTGCCTTAGGACTTCTTCCATACCAGTTCACTTTCGAGGAAGGTGGTAAGTCAGGTTCTATACACATATAGGTGGTTATAATAGAGTGCACGAGGTACCATGGAGTGAACATTCTGCCTCATCTTGATTGGCTATTGAAGCAGAAACCCCTAGAAAAGCAGCCGCTAACAACATACCGGTTTGTTGTAAACCGTAGTCTAATGCACAATGGTACTAGTGTAACATTAGTGCTGGCAAGTGACATTTCCGCTAACGAGCTAGAGAGTTAGAGTTGCATAAGACCTCATCGAACATGGTGGACTTCTATGCCGGAGTAGAGTCAAGTTTTTTGAGTCAGATTGCCCTATGATCTTCATATTTGCCACTTTGTATGCCGAACTCCACGAGTTAAAAATCTGCGGACTGCCGATTGCCACCTCCATACCATCGCATGCTGCAGTTAAGCAGTCGTCATTTTGTACTAGGTCAATCTGATTTTTAAGAGGCAGATGTGCTTGACTGGCTGCATGGGAAAGTATTTTCAGCTGAACAAGGAGGATGGCAAATCCATTTTCCACCATATTTCTGTAAAGGGATGTGGTGAAATAGAGCTGTACCCTTGTCGTTGTAAGGTTGTATTATTGGCTGAAGAGGCATCTTATCTGCTTGGAATAAATGCCTGGAAGCAGGAATAAAATCCACACACCAAAAAAACCTAATTGTGATTCCAGTATTTTTCCTTCCGACCGGCGGCTTCCCCCTTCATATCAAGAGGTGGCGGTCATCCCCCGCTTTCAACCTTTTCTCTTCCTCTTCCTCTCCCGAACATTCTCCTAAACCCAAGTTCAATTAAGGATTATCATTTCACATATTTCACTCATCTCTCAACCTTGACGCCTTACTAGATTCGGCTTTACAAGAAAAAGAATAGAGAGCGAAAACGAGGGAAATTAACCCAATAACAACTTCGAAGCCGTAGGGTATACCATAATATACGGCCGGGACCTCTGGATTCCGACATTAAAAAAGGGCAACATCACCTGAGAGACTCGCCATAGTGTTGGGGGGCTTGCCGTAAGAATTTAAGAATTTTCTGGAGATATGGTATTAACACGACAGACAAGACAAACCACCTCCGACGATGCATTTCCTACTACTCAGCTATTCCTGCTCGGTATGTGATTCACCTGTCGACAATCTATCGCACTACATACTTACGTTCTCGTGGCAACAGCAATATGCCGTGTCGCAGAGCCCATCGCTCTGACGTCCATATTCCCATACTCCTGGGTTATGGTCAAGGATTTTCGAGTAGCAGATCGCACAGATGCTTCCTTCTATGCCGGGATCCTCGTGTCCGCCTTTTCTCTTGCGGAAGCCCTCACCGGTATGTTCTGGGGAGGCCTTTCGGACCGTATCGGTCGTAAACCGGTTCTTCTGTCCGGTTGCTTCGGCACTATCCTATCCCTTCTCCTTGTGGGATTCGCCCCAAATTTCTGGGTGGCGCTCTTAGGTCGCGCTCTTGGAGGTCTACTGAACGGGAATATCGGAGTCATCCAGACAATGGTTGGGGAACTAGTCAAGCGACCAGAACATGAACGTAAGTGAAAAGTTTGAAGATGCCCTACAATTCGAGCAGGAGTAGTAGCTTATCGTGACTGTTATAGCTCGAGCCTACGCCGTGATGCCATTTGTCTGGTCAATTGGAACTATTATCGGACCCGCGATTGGAGGTTTGCTTGCGAAGCCCGCCGAAAGCTATCCATCCCTGTTCTCCGCCAACGGTCTTTTCGGCAAATTTCCCTACCTGTTGCCGAATCTGGTCTGCTCCCTCCTACTCCTTTTCAGCATAGTTGGCAGCTGGTTATTCTTATACGAGACCCATCCTGGCCTGCAGCATAAGAATGCTTCCGGAGACCTCGATCATACGT